AAGCAAATTTCTACCCAACTCACCTCAAAATGCAGTACAAAGGCATTCTAAAAATAATTGAGAATGTCACTTTTTAAGAAGTTCATGTTAGTAATTTTGTTGTAAGGTTTATTTTAGGCATGGGGGCCAACACTATAAACCGGCATCTCTTATTTTAAAATAGTTCTTTTTACACTTCCTAACAATGTGTTGCTGCCGTCAGATTTTTTTAAATGAATACTTCTACTGTAAAAATTTTACCAGGAACTTAAAATTTATACAATTACAAGCAATATGTTGCCAAGTTTTTAGAACTGATTCTTTGTGATCCTACAGGAAGCAGAAAAATTAAATAATTCAAGCATGTACAGTCAAGACTCACTTTCAAGATTCTGTCTTCATCAATTTGACTACTTGATAAAATTTATTTTTAACCCCAAAATCAGTATTTGTGGCACTTTCATGGTGCAGAAGTGAAAAATTTGAGTTGCCTAACTGCATACATTCCCAGGTTAGGTCAAACAGGGTAACACTCTGCCTTATTTCAGCTCTAGTATTCGTGAACATGCATCCTTTAAGTAGTATATTTAGTTTTTCACATTTCTGTGCATTTTGCTGGTGATTTCACTGTTTAAAATGGCCCCCAAGTGTGGTGCTAAAGTGTTGTCTAATTTTCCAAAGTGCAAGGCTGTGGGGTGCCTTTCAGAGAAAACAACACATTAGATAAGCTTCATTCAGGCAGTTATAGTGCTACTGGCCATGAGTTCAATGTCAATGAATCAATGTATATTAAGCAAGGTGTTGAAAACAGAACAGAAAACATGTAAAATATATTTATCAGTTGATGAATACATGAACAGAGGCTACAAGAAGCTAGCCCTGTATTACCCCCAGACGTGATGGTTTAATATTTGCTAATTCAGTATTTATGGTCACTTTATAGAATGTATTTTACCCAACCAGATTTGCACAGTTCATCCTATGCTATGAATGTTTTATGCTATCTGGACAGAGTACATAGAAAGATAGCAACAGTTATTTAAATATTTGTAATTAGTGGATTGGTAACAATTTCCTTTTTAAAGTATGACACAGATGTGATTTCTAGCAAAAAATCTTCACATTTCAATCCAAATTTCCTTAATAACATTTCTGTTCTCTTACCAAGAATAATTACTGATGTGGTCCCATCTCCAACCTCTTCATCCTGTGTCCGGCTAATTTCAATCATGGACTTGGCTGCTGGATGCTGGACTTGAATCTGAGAAGAAAGATGCAGACTGCTACTGAAACACTACAAAGACCTCTTAACCCATTCTGGCTTGGCTCCAACTCTTAAGCTTCTTGCTTCCATACCTACTCTCTTTCCTTTATTGCTTTACCATAGTTTGAAAGATGAAAAGCATCCCCCAAAACATAAACATAAACCACCTTACCTTTTCAAGTCCCTTTCTTCTTGGGGAAAAATGAATCATGCCAACTGAGCCATTCAAGTTTCTTGACAGAATAGTACCTTTTAGATTATTTACTGGGAGTACTATTGTTGTGGTTGAATTGTCTTCTCCAAAAGGACATGTTGGAGTCAGATTCTTGGAAACAGGGCTTTTGCAGATGTTATCAAGCTGATGACGCATGGAACATTAGGGTAGGCCCTAAATCCAACCACTAGCTGTCTTTATGAGACACACAGGAAAATGCCATATTGACGGTTGAGAAGGATACCAAGTTTTTAGGCCAAGGAATGCAAAGAGCTGCGGTCAGCCATCAGAAGCTAAAAGAGGCAAAGGGTTCTTCCCAAGAGCCTTTAGGAGCGTGACCCTGCTGACACCCTGATTTCGTACTTTTAGCCTCCAGTAGGAGAATCAATTTCTGTTGTTTAAAGCTGCCCAGTTGGTGGTTATCTGTTACAGCAGCCCTAAGATGATTCGTTCATCATTTACATGTGTCCTTCTTTAGGGTCCTTTATAAAAATTGTCGGAAAACAAAATAAAGTCATACCTCTCGAAGAATGGCATTGCCATCATTGGTCATCACAATTCCTCCCATCGGGTCCAAAAGCATCTACCACAAAAACAACAGTTACATGTAAGTGTTCCAGATAACAGAAAGGGAAAATCTCTAGTGAAAAAGTTTCAGCGAGAGATAAGCCCACCTTCATCATGGACTTCGGACCCAAACACGTTCGGATAATATCTGCAATAGTCTAAGAGAGAGAAAATATAAATTGTGTAAGCAAAACCCAGAGGACAGTATGTGTCTTAGGGAAGAAGGAAAGGGCATGAGTAATCCACAGAGCCAGTGTTTTAGTGACATCTCTGAAGAAGGGCTGGCAACCACTATACATATAGCTTGCCATGTGGCTGGATTCTGTTCATTGGGAATGCTTCTAGGGTAGATGTAGAAATAACTGACTTTACACAGAGAAAAGGTGACATGCCTCCCAGGGCTTCAGTGTCCCAAGTGTCGAGATAACTGGAAGTCCATGCCTTAATGTATCTTTATCTTTACAGTGGTCTCCACATTATGCTAAATTAATCAAATCTAGCACTATTTCGTTCTTTCACTCAAAAGAAACTTACTCAACACCTAACTAGGATCTATAGTGGGTACTAGGAATACAAAAGGGAATATAATCCTTCCCCTCAAGTAACTTAGCCAAGTATAGGAGATTAAATACATTACAAAACAATATACAGCAACAGAATTACATACAGTATGAGACGACTATTAATTAGGCCTAACTCAGAGAGGACATGCTCCTTCCTACCGTCAGGGAAATGTCCTGAAACAAGGGAAGTCAACTTCTCCTCTGCCTGACTATACACAAATACAAATACAGGGAAGGCAGCTGGAGGCAAATTAGTATAACTTCAACTGCTTAAAACAGAAGCTTACCTTGGCGGCATTGATGTTTCCAGACTGAACTTTTCTTCCAGATTCACGCTTTGTGTTCTGGCCTAAAACACATAAAACAAAAGGCAATAGCCCAGGACTGCTCCATTGTTTATAAACTATTTATCTCCTGACCTTTGAAAATAGACACACAGGTTTCATGGGTATACACATAGATCAAAGCTTATCAAACTATACACTTTAAATATGCATTAGAGAAAATAACACATTAGATAAGCTTCATTCAGGCAGTTATAGTGCTACTGGCCATGAGTTCAATGTTAATGAATCAATGTATATTAAGCCATCTTACTATATGTTAATTATACCTTAAAAAACTGGCTGAAAATAACCATACATGGTTGTGGCCTCTTCTTTACTTCAACCCTGATACATTAAACACTTCACAATGCTTCAACTTTGGAATCTTGCTCATCATATTCCCTCTAACCAAACATTCATGTATTTATAACAAGGATTCATAACCTGAGATCCATGAACAGGCCTCAGGGGGTTAGTGAACTCCCTGAAATTAAGAAGAAAATGAGAAATACTGCGTTTTGTTTGGGCAGAGGGTCTATAGCTATTGCCAGACTGTCAAAGGGCTAGTGACCTTAAAAAAGCACCACTGCTTTACATAAAAAGAGTTTGGAGGTTCCTATTTTCCTAGTTGGATGGTGGAATCATACTCTCAGTCCTAGCATAAATATTGACAATGCCCCACACTGTGCTGTGGAATGAGAATACACTCTCAAAAGTGTCCCAGTTTGCAGGACATAGTTTCCCCAGGCTTGGATATAGTTAAGTATGCTTTAGTGGGAACCCCCAGCAAGGGCTGTATAATAATAGGGAGCTTAACTGCTTTTAGCCACTAATGCCAGAATTAACGCAAACCTGAAAAGGGTTTCACAATGAAGGCACCACTCACCCCAGGATCCTCTCAATGGAGACAAGCCAGTGGTTATAATGAAACCAACATAATTGTTATTTCTCTCCAGATTACAAATTCTCTACAGTTGAAATCTGTAAAATTTTCAATCCAGTCTCATCAAATCTAAACACAATTCTCAGGATTTAGATTCCTATTTAAGGCAACGTTAACTAAAATCCTGCATGGTCCTTCTGAAAGGATTCAGAAATAGGGCTTTTTCTGGGTTAAGTGGTTTTTTTCTGAAAATAGTTATTTTTCAGAGAAAATGGGCAAAATCCCAGAAAAGAATTTTGAATGCAGAAGATGATAAGGAGGGAAAATGACAAGCAGAGCATCTTAGGTGGTCTTGCAGATGGGGTACAGAATACAGGATAAAGGCAAGACAATGGAGGTGGTACTCATTGTCAGAAAGAAATTTGGGATGTCCCCAAAGGGTAAAGAGAACCAGTCCAGAAATTCGGGAAAACTAAGTTGGCTAGTAGGGAAGATTACAATGCAGAGACACACACAGGGAATTATTACATCTAAGAGAGACTAAGGAGGAAAGTAGGGTCAGTTCAGGAACCGGGGTTGCCAAAGGGAAATTAAGAGGATTGTTACTGAAAGTTTACCAACTGTCCTCATTTAATCGTCTTAATTCTACGAGGAAATACCGTTAATTCCAATAATAAAGATGGAAACGCTTAAATCAAGCAATTCGGCTGAGGCCACACCACAACTAAGGGATGGGCCAAAGTTCATAAAGCCAGGCCAAACTAAAAGCCATTATTCCCTCAAGCTACATGCAAGGGAGCAGCAACGGTAGGGGGGTGGGAGGGAGGGCCGCTGAGTGGGAAGCTTCCGGAGGTGAAAGACAGCCAAGACAAGGGGCTCAGAGAAATTAAGATCAGTTTGTTTTTCTGAAAATTGGAGAGGATTTTAAGGGAAAGAGGAAAGCAGCAGAGGGGCTTCCGAAATGAACGATGACTGGAAAGCTCAGCGGCCGGACCAAGGAAGGACTGGGCTGGGGCAACACTGAAAAGCGTGGAGGGAAGGAGGCAAAAAGGGGGCCCCTTCCCCAGCTCCCCTACAACTCACTGAGCACGAGCACGGGACGATGGCCCATCATGGCGGCGCGATGCAGAGCCGAGTACCCGGCAAAGGGGCAACCGGCAGAACCTTCTGGAGTGAGAGAACCACAGAGAAACGCAGAAAACGCTGCCTCTCCAGGGCTTACAGCCCAACCCGCTAGTCTTCGGTTTGCCGCCAATCACTGCACTCACCTCATTGACCGGCTCGAAAACAGGCCAATTGACACCACTAGCCCCGCCCCCTACGAAGAAGAGTCCGGTAAGTTAGATAGAGAGAGCGCGACGAAGGCAAAGGGAGGACATTGCGCTTGCGCAGTAGGGTGGCCGCTCCCGGCCGCGTGCGGCGCGACCCTCAGCGCATGCGCTGAGGGTGGGGCAGATGGGCGGCCCGCCACTGCGCATGTGTTTTAAGCACAGGGGTGGGTGCTGGAATTGAGGTTTTGGGTTAACGCCGCAGGTGAGGTCATCAAACTGTCTTGTAGCTCGGCTCCTTTCGGGCCGTGCAGGTCACGAGCGGTGTGACAGTTTCCATTGTTAAGTTCCAGCCTTAGCAACGGGGAGAAAGGGAGGAGCGAGATTTCAACTGGCAGTTGAGGGAAAACGTGCGGGTTTGAGGCGGGTTGAAATGGGAGTCGCAGCAATCTTTGCCTTCCGGGTGCGCTGGAAGTTAGAGTTTATTGCCTCTGGACCCGCTGCTGTGCAGGGACCTTTCTTAAGCAGATGCTTTCTACTGAGGCGATGAGCGGTACCGGAGGGTGTTGGCTTACTTTTTCCCCAAGTTGCCATCTAAAACACTTTCTCATGGGTTCCCCTTTGCTTGGAGATTCTCTTCAACACACCCATTCGTGCCCCCCTCATTCACTCAGCTGCTGGTCGATTACAGATGATGGGGAGCCAGAGTTTTTAAATTACCTCAGACAGAAGGGCTGATACTGCAAAAATTAGACGTGGAGAGAACACAGAGTAATTGCCTATTTGTAGGAGACTCTTAAGGTTTGAATTTGGTTAAATTACTGTTCAGAAAAAGAAGAAGCAATAATAATAGAAGCATCTGTATTATTCAGCTATAAGAAGAAAACAAATCCTACCATTTGCAACAACATGGATGAAGCTAGAGGGTATTATGCTCGGTGGAATAAGCCAGGCAGAGAAAGACAAGTATCAAATGATTTCACTCATCTGTGGAGCATAAGAACAAAGCAAAAACTGAAGGAACAAAACAGCAGCAGACTCACAGAACCCAAGAATGGAGCAACAGTTACCAAAGGAAAAGGGACTTGGGGAGGGTGAGTGGGAAGGGAGAGAGAAGGGGAATAAGGGCATTACAATTAGCACACATAACGGGGGTGGGGACACGGGGAAGGCAGTGTAGCACAGAGAAGACAAGTAGTGACTCTATAGCATCTTACTACGCTGATGGACAGTGACTTGTAATGGGGTATGTGGTGGGGACTTGATAATGGGGGGAATCTAGTAACCACAATGTTGCTCATGTGATTGTATATTAATGAGACCAAAAAAATAAAAGCAGAAAAAAAATAGTAATAGAAGCATCTGTTTTCAAACTGGTGAAGGGGCCGTGAAAGCTCGAACAATTCAACAACCGGAGAAGAGTACACCCTTTCACACTTTTTCCTACCCAAACTGGAATAGCCTGACTCTGCTGGAGAAAACGTAGGAATTTGTCAGTAGTAAAATAATTACTGTTCAATACAGTGATATAAGCATGGGTTGTTGATTGCGTGATTCTCTTTGATTCTTTCCCAGGCACCATTACTTGTTCGTGTTCAGATGCAGCAGCACACTAGTCATCCTAAGAAAAAAAGGAGTGTGCCGGAAGCTCTGCTTCCCCTCCCTTCAAAGCCAGACCTCCTTAACCACTCAGCGCTTGGGAAAATGATTCTAGTTGTACTTTTTCCTGTTACTGGGTTAATTGGAAAGTATTTGTATTTGTTGTGCTTTTCCCATTAAAAGGGAACATTGCTGTATTCCCACTGTCTAGAACTGGATCTGTTAAATAATAGATGCTCAATAATTGTGTGTTGAATGAATATATTATTCTTCCTTTGTATCTCATATTAATACTTAGAAGAAGACTTTGTGTACAGGGATCCCAGAGATACAGTGTTGACTGGAGGGAACGGATATGCTCCGTTTGAATGGGACAGTTACACAGGTAGCCAAGGAAATATATGAGGTCATCTGACTCCAGAGTCTACCCATTTAACTGTAGGTGGAGTAGATTGCTTTATTGAGAGGCCTACTATGTCATTGCTTAGACATAAGTGAACTAGCTCTTTTCATAGAGTATATTGTGCAGTGGTAAAGAGCATGACTTTGGAGCCTACTTAATTAAATCCAGGCCTGGATTTAATTCCTGCACTGCCACATATTAATTGTGGAATTTCAAGCAAATTTCCTAACAAGCTTTCACAAAAGCTGTTCACTTCGTAAGGTCATTATGAGAAATATGTAAGAATGTATGTAAAGCACCTTTTATTATTTATTCTTCCTTTTGCTGCTTTCCAGCTTCATCCTCTATTACTGTCTAGACAGAAATATGGTTCCTTTAGTATGGATTGTGCATATTTTTCAAACCTTACAACCCAGTGGAAAATGCATGCTCGTATACCTAGGAAGGGCTCAAAGTGGAAGTACATTTGTGTAGAAGTCAACAAATTTTTCAAATGGTGAGAAGAATTTTGAGTCCTGAGTTTCAGCCTTAATCTCCTTGCCATTCTGCATGAGCCATCAAATGACTGGTGACTGGGGAGCAGGAGGAGGAGGTGGATAACCTACAGCAAGACGTGGAAAGTCCACAAACCCAGTGCAAAGAAACGGATTTCCCTCATCAAGAGTGACAGACAGGGAATAAGACAGATTTCAGTCTTCATAGACGCAGGGACTGTCCAGGCAGCAAGCAGCTCAGTCTGGCACCCATTTCTGAGCACTTCCTCCTCCAGGCAGGTCCTTCATCTGTTGCACTCTGAGTAAAGGACAGGAGGAAGACATCTTCTTTCACACAACCAACTTGTCACTCCTCTGCCTCCAGGCTTGTTTTCCATGAAGAGGCCCTGTCTGTATCTTCATTCTTCAAGTTCCAGCTGAGACAGGATCATTTCCATGGAACACATTCCCCAGATGTACAGACTAGGTTAGGTGCTCTTACAGCATTTACAGAGTGTAATTATGTGTGTGTGTTTGATCACTTACTGCCTACACTGCAATACTGTCAGTTCCATGAGAGTAACAACCATATCTATCCAGCTCACTGTGGTGTCCTCAGTGGCTGACACATTGCAGGCACTTAGCTGTTTCTTACATTTATAAATGAATGAATGAATTCAGATTTTCTATCCTTTTTTAATCTCCTGTGACAGTGAATTATGGACTCCCTACTGTCCTAAACTCTTTAATTCTTTCACGGTCCCAGCTCTTTTGCCTTTCCTTCCATCCATTGCTCTTCTGTCCGCTTTGCTACGTCCTTTTCATCCCAAGGAGGAGTTCCCCAAAAGTCCAGTTTCCTTCTCAGTTCTTTGTAACTTTGGGTAGCTCATTTATTTTGCAGCTTCTTCATCACCTCTTTGCGACTGGCCTGGTGGTCTGACCTTTCACCTCAGCTCAGTACCATCTCTCTGGCTGCCTTTCTAGACTTTTTTTGCCATTTGGAATGCTTCATCGCAACTCAGATTCAATTTGTCCAAAATGTGATTTATGTTAACGTGACAGTACTCCAACTCAGACTCCCTTGAGTATAAAAGAAAATTCAGAGGCTTGGGTAGTTGGAAGAATGCTGAGAGGGTCACAGAATAGGAAGAGCTGTGTAAACCAGGACCTCAGGCACTGGACTGGGGATTCAGTGCCTCCATGTATCTGTTTGTCTATCTGTCTCTCTCCTACACTCTCTTGGCTCTAATCTCTTGCTTGTATCTGTTTCCCAAGGCATGTTGTCCAAGTTCAGTATTTTTCATTTGCCCCAAGTTTACATCTTCCCAGCAGAGCAAATCAGAAGAAAGCAAGCTTCATTGATACAGAATCCATACTCTCTATCCAGAGAATGACTCTGGCCCAACTTGCCTCCTGTACTTACCGCTGGAATGAATCACAGCCGCCAAAGGGAACAGGATACCATGATTGGCCTCTGTTGGGTCACATGCCTTTTCCTGTTGGCGAGCACGGTCCAATGCAGCCCCGCCAGTGTGGCCTGGAATCTGGGGAATGAATAGTTTCCCAGAAGAAAGGTTGCCCAGTAGACAACTTAGTATGTCCTGTAGGATTCATTATCTCCCTATAAGTCAATTTTTCTATTTCTGCCAAAAGTAATCTATTTTCCCATTTAAGAACTTCTTCCATGCCCAACCCATTTTAATACCTACAGATTAATTAAAATACAATTTTGATCCTATTCTCTAATCCTGAAAGGCTCACTGGCTTCCCACTCTCCCCACCCCTGATTCTCCCACCTGGTTCACCCCAGTACCCCAAGGCTCCACGTCATTCCAGTGATAGTCTTGCTTCCTTGCCTTTGTTCTTACTATCTTTTTTCTCCCACTTGAAATATCTTTTTCCATTCATCAAAAGCTTCCTGTTTTCAAGGTTCAGCAAATAGCCTCCATCTACCTGGAGTTTTCTCTGACTATTGTGCCCATATTGATCTCTTCCTCCTTTTCAAAGCATTCATTTTTACATTTAAGCACATTGTATAACTAAAGATAAGAGGCCTTATTTTTTACCCCAGACCAACAGACTCACTGTTTATGTCCTTGTGTTGTTATGTCACCATTTCATCCGTGTTGGATTTGTCTCCATCATTAGCTTTTAAGCACCTAGGGAGCCTTGTCTTAGAGATCTTGTGTATCTAGCACAGTAGTAAGCATATGGCACAAACCATAAGAACTTGTAAATTGTAAGCAAATTCGATGTTAGTGAATCCCATCCTGCTTGGTTTCCCTTAGTCCCACTATGGTTTCTTCTTTGTTCATTTTATGTTAAGTTTCTTTGAGGCTATTTGGGGCAGGGCCTTGGCACCTGCTTTCATAGACTGAATGCAGAGGTCTAATTAGAAAGGGCGTCCCTTGTTGGAATAAGCTCTGATTAGTTGCTCTCTGATTATGTTCCAGCCAAAGAGAAAGGAACCCTCCCCCAGCCTTATTAATCTTCAAATAAGTTCCCCACCAGCCATTTTCCTGAACATATAGACAACAAAGGTGCCCTCAGGTAAGGATGCAGGGAGGGTTTCCCAAATAGACTCATGAGGGGGTGGGGGAGAGGGAGCTGCATGGAGGAGGTGGCCGGAATTTTCTCCTATTGATCTGGTGCCCATTCTGGGGCAAGGCATCTCTAGATTTTTCACTGGTAGCTTGTTGATTCTTCCATCTTCTGATTTTATTTTCCGCCCGATTCTACCAATTTGTATAGATTCCTTAACACCTTATTAACCCCTCTCTAGACTAGGGAGGACTAAAAAGAAAATTTTATTGCTTGTTATTCATGGTAGTTAAAAGTGGCCAGGGAAGGAAATAGTAACTATTAGCTCTGTTTCTTTGAATTTCAGTTACTCATCCTCCCATGGGGAAATCAGTGGGTACTTAGCATACCTGTGGGGAGCTTAACACTAGACAGTCATGATCCCCATTTTTTGAGGACTTCAGGGTTTAACAAAGAAGTGAACACCAATAAATACATGAACAATGAATAACCAGCAAGGTTACCTAAGAGCTGGCTGCATAGAATTCAGTTGGAAACATAAGATAAAATTGATCTGATGCAACAAGACTGGTTGAAGTTTGATAACAGGAAGAACTTCATGTCACTGCTAATGAGACACTATGTCAGGTCAGAGAAGAAGCCTGAGACATCCTGAGCACTTGAAAGGGAAGTTAGGCCTCGCTCCCAGACCATTTCGTCCACTCATCAATTATTTGCTGAATACTTAGGTGCCAGGCCCTCTTGTAGGTGCTGGGGATACAACAGTAAAGAAATCAGGCAAAATCCCCTGCCTTTCTGGAGCTTACAATCTACAGGGGGAGCTTAGACAACAATTAAGTAATACAAAATATGATTGTAAACACCATGAGAGAAATAAAGTGAGGAAGAAGGGTAACAAATTCCAGTGATTGGTTTCAAATTAAAATAGGGTGGCCAAGTGGGCTTCACTGAGAAGGTGACAGCTGAGCAAAGGTGTATCTGGGTTGAGTCGTGCTCGAGATAAGAGGAGTCATCTCATGCGAGCCCTCCCCTGCTCAGTTCAGTTACAAAATCTCTCTTTCGTCCACTTTGCACCTCCATTGCTCTTCCCTCAGGAGTTGACCACAAGCCCAAGGAATGTCTGAGACTCCTAGAATGTGTGTATGCCAGTCTCCAGCTTCACATCCAGCTTGCCTAACAACAGATGGCTCTTGTGGAAAATTTGCAAGCATCCATGACACAACTGTCTCCTGGGAGGGGAAGCAAGAACTCTTTCTCTTCTCTCCCAGCCTTATCCTGCAATCTGTTGTTAAGTCACTTGCCCCAGTTCAGTAAATAAATTGTGGAATAAAGTTATCGTGTACGTTTTTTCCTCCTTTCTTGCCAGCAAACCATCGGTGGAATCTGGGCATGTATGTTCTACACATAGTTGCTTGGCTCACAAGTTCACAGTAAGTGCCCATTGAGTACGAAGCACTGTGCAAGGCACTTGGGGATACAGAAGAGACAGGTTTGGGGGATTTACTCTCTAACAAGGCAAATAAGACAGATAATTCATTGCAAAATTTAGTGATACTCTAAGGGAGAAAGGAGGTTGTGAGATAAAGGTTACTAGGATACACTGGACCAGTCTTGGAACCTTGCTGGAAGAAGTGGCCTTATGATGCCACCTGGTAAAGGGGCAGGATTGGGTGGCATAGACAGATGAAGTAAGGCCCCTTCACGTCATTTGGGAAGCTTAGACAAAGACGTAAAGGTAGGAGATTAAGTCATCAGAAATGAGAAGAGTTTTTTCCAAAAATATTGGATGTGAAGTAGAATGTAGAGCAGCCAAAACAGACAGGGCAGCTTCCCTGGTGAATTGTTCTGATAACAACCATTAGAAGCTCTGGTTTTATTTGAAGCACTGGACAGCCATTGGATGCTCTCAAATAACAGTGAGACACACATAAGACAGTAGAAATGCCATGGGAAGACCACGTTGGAGGGGGAGGGAGAATGGAAGTTGAGACACATCCGTAAGTTAATATTAGTAATCTAATGTGAAACTACCACGTTCTGAATAAAAGGTTTAGAAATGAAGACAGCAATGGGTAAATCTGAGTTATATTATAGAGGACTAATCTTGAGTTTGAAACACGAAGAGACAGTGTCCTGCAAGTTGAGAAATCAGTTTAGCTTTAATGAGGGTTCAAGTCAAACCATAATGTCCAGTATTTGAGAAGGGGACAACTGAGACCGGCTCAGCCATCTGAGCCCCATGAGGTCACCATTTTCTCTTTCAGTTGTTTCGGCAAATTGACCCGAGACTGGGTCCTCTTTCTACAGAGGCCTTATTTTCCTGAAGAAGGTGGAGAAGATACAAGGAGAGTTAAGCTTGAATGCAGAGATGAGGAGGAAGTGAGAAAGCAGTGATTGACAAGAGGACTTCACATTGGCTTCAACTCTTTGAAGAGTTTTTCAGAGAGACTTCTTTATTCTGTAGGATTAAAGAGGACAGTGCAAGAATAAGACTGATGGGAGGCTTGAGGAATTGAGGTTTGAAATTCAGGGAAAAAATCCTGATGAAGCTACTCTCCTTGCAGAAAGAGGAGGTAGTTAAGATAATTTTAGAAAGATAGAGGTCCCAATATCTGTGGGAAAGTTTAGATCTAACTGTGCTTGGATGCAAGGGGGAGGGTAAGTTTTGTCTAGAAGTATGTTACAGTTTCATCATCCCATCATTCTCATCGAAATGCAAGTTCTGAATAAAATGTGAAGGGGATCTCCTCTTCTCCGAGCCAGTAATCTCTCCATGCACATGTAAGATCTAAAAGTCATGCTTCCCATTAGAATGGCCGTCATCAAGAAGATGAGACCACAGGTGCTGGTGGGGATGTAGTGAAAAGGGAACCCTTATACTCTGTTGGTGGGAATGTGAAGTGGTCCAAACACAATAGAAAACAATATGGAAATTGCCCATAAAATTAAAAATAGATGTGCCATGTAATTCAACAATTTCTCTACTGAGTACATCCCCAAAGATAATGAAAACAGTATTTCAAAGAAATATATGCATGCCCATGTTTATTGCAGCATTATTCACAATAGCCAAGACATGGAAACAACCTCAGTGTCCATCAAGTTACACTAATCAAGGCATTGTGGTGCCAGTGAAAGAACAAACAGATTAGTGAGACAGAAATAAGGAACCCAGAAACAGACCCCCATAAATACAGTCAATTGATCTTTGACCAAAAGTAAAGGCACCACAATGGAGAAAGGATAGTCTTTTCAGCAAATAGCATTGAAACAACTGGATATACACATGCAAAAAAAGTGAATCTAAGCACTGACCTTAACACCTTTCACAGAAAGTCATGCTCACTGAAAAGGCCTCAGAACAGTGATCAACTCAGTAGCAATGAATATCCCCAGCACCCAGAGTCTCTTAAGGTAATTTTTTCAATAAAAGGAAACAGGGATCCTTGAAGAAATACCTGTTTCTAGATCGTAGGTAGGATAAATGTAAGATTGGCCTAGAACATCTCATCCCATCAGGTAGAAAGCTGTCAAAGTCTGCTAGGACTGTGTCAAAAGAACTTAGGAGTCAATCTGAATAAGCCACACTTAAATTATGAAACACAATTTGGTGAAAAGAAGTGGATAAGAAAGATGCACTATGCTAACAGTAAGCAGAGGAAAGCTGGAGTGGCTATATTAATATCAGGTAGTCTGACTTTAAAATAAATCATACTGCCACAGATAAAGAGGGACATTTCCTAATGATAAAAAGGTCAGGGTAAACTATTATATTCACGCAATAGACAATTACTTAGCACCCAAAAGGAACAAATCCCCAATATGTAGGAACAACATGAATGAATCTCAAAAATATGCTGAGGGAAAAAAGTCTTATAGAAAAGAACACACATTGTATCATTCTGTTTTTTTGAAGCTGTAGAACATATAATATTAATATATGGTGGAAAAATATCTAAAAACAATAGTTGCCCTTGGGGGTGGAGTGGGGATGAGAATTGACTGGGAAGGGGCAGAGGGAACTTTCTGGTTGATGGTTCTGTACTTCAATGTAGGAGTTTGGATTACACAGGTATACGCATTTGTCAAAACTCATCAAGTGGTACACTGAAGAGTTATGCATTTTATGGGATTTAAATTTCACCTTGAAAAGTAACTGTAAACAAATATTGAACTCTTGTTAGTGATAGCCTTACAAACCAGTTAGAGATGATGTCTACAGCTCACTGTGAAATGCACCAAAAAAGTAAGAGATTAATTAATGGATTGATCAAAAGATGGATAGCTATGTGACAAATAGAATAAATGTTATTGTAGAATTTAGGTAGTTTTATCTATGGGTTTACACAGGAAAAAGTTCTTTCAACTGTTACATATGTTTGAAAATTTTCATAATAAAATGTTGAAAATAAGAGCCATTATGCTTAGAGGTACACACAGAAATATGAACAAATGATGCCTAAGGTTTGCCTCAAAATAACCTGGGTGGACAGGACTGGGTTGGTGTATGGATGAAATAGAATTGGTCGTGGATGGTTAATTGTCTTATCAGGGTGATAGGCATATCTGATTCATTAGTCTCTCTATTTTTGTATATGTTTCCATATTAAAAAGTTTTTTAAAAAATCACATATAAAAAACTTTAAAGCAATGCAGAAAGTATAAAATAACAGAGGAATAAAAGTCTCTGCCAAAACCCTAGGCCCTCTCCCCACAGAAAACCACTGTTGAGCATTTCCTGATATTCTAGAAAGCAGTATATTTATACCAGCATACAGATTTGAGTATATGTATTTATATTCATTTTTCCAATTTACACAGTGGTGGTGTATTCATTCCTATTGCTGCCGTAACAAATTGCCACAAACTTAGTGGCTTAAGAAACACAAAGTTCCTGTATTTTCTTGTAGTTCTGTAGGTCAGAAGTCTTGATACAGGTCTCTCTTGGCTAAAATCAAGACTTTAGCAGGTCTGTGTTTCCTTTCGGGAGGGCCTAGGAAAGAACCTGTCTCTTCCATTTGACACCTTCTAAGAGAACCCTTTCCTCCATCTTCAAAGCCAGCAGTGTTGTCTCTGTGTGCATCTGTCCCTCCGATCCTCCTCTTCGGCCTCCCTCCTGCACTTTAAAGGACCCCCATGACTGCATCGGGCCCGCCCAGATAATCCAGCATCAGCTCCCCTTTTAAAGGTCAACTGATTAGCTGCCTCAATTCCATCTGCAACCTGACTTCCCCTTTGCCATGTAATTGAACACATTGCCAAGTTCTGGGGGTAGGACATTGACATCTTTGGGAAGCCATTATTCTACCTGCTACAGCTGGTATACCATCCACATTATTCTGCACTTTGCCATTTTCCACTTAATGTAGCCTGGTGATCATTACAAATCTGCATACACAGATTTACCACAGTCTTCTCAACTGCTGCATAGTATTTCATTGCAGAACATCACAGAATCTAAGCAGTTCCCTATTAATGGACATTTATATTGTCTCCAGTTTTTCACTATTATAAAAAAAATGCCACAAGAAGCATCCTTGATTTGTAGGTAGGGGTGCTTGTGACTAGAGGTCAATACAGTAATGGAACATTTGTTTTGGAAATGAGATGTTTTACAGCAACACCGGGTTGTCTATGATGAGATAATCCTTAAAATGAGAATGTTTGTTGCTCTTTTTTCTTCTGTCACTCTTTACTGGGCGCCTCTCATGTGCCAGGCACTAATCTTGGAACTGGGGATAAAACAAGGAAAACAGACAGAATCTCTGCCTGTGGAGTTTTCATTTTAGTGCAGGAAGACTGACTATATAAAAACAGTATGTCGGATGGCGCTAAGAACCATTAAAAAAAAATAGTATAGTCTTAAAATGGGACCAGAGACTCCTGAAGGTCCCTAAAACCCTTTTAAGGGATCCATGAGGAAAGAACAATTTTCCTAATAATACTAAGACATAATTTGCCTTCACTGTCATTCTCTCATGAGCATACGATGGATTTTTCCAGAGGCTTCATGGAATGCAGTATCACAACTAACTGGATCAGATGCAGGTATGAGGATCCAGGCATTTTCTGTTAAACCAGACATAAACAAGATCTGTGCAAATATAAAATAATGGTCTAATTTTGTTTGGGATAATATCATTATCTTTTATTTAAAAATATTAACATGTCATGGATTGCTATTGTTTTAAGTGAATATATTAATCTTCTTAAATGTTCTAATTTTTAATAGGGTAAATATAGGGAAATATAACCCACACAAGCAAAAGCTGAAGTTTTAAGAGTGTAAAGGGGTCCTGAGACCAAAACGTATG